CCGAGGCCCCGGCCCCCCCCGCCCTGCCAACGCCTCCCGCCCCCCTGGGCCGGCCGACCCCCCGGCGCTCGCGGGCGCTGAGCTGGGCCGCCCGACCCCTTCCCCTCTTCTGGGGCCGTGCCCCTCCCCCCCGCCCAGCAGCCGCGGCCAAGCGGCCCCCGAACGTGTATGTCACGCGGGTGCGGCCGGGACTGCGGGCCCCGCCCCGGGCCCCGGCGCCGCCCCGCCCACGCGGCCCTCCCCGGCCACTTTTCCCTGGCGTCTTCCTGCGCCCCAGACCCCTACCCAGGGTGCGGCTGCGCGCGCGCCCACGCCCACCCCGGGCTCGAGGCCGCAGAACCGGCGGCCCCCAGGCCGCAAAGCTGAGGGCCCCGGCCCCGGCCACCCAGGGGAGCCGAGAGGGCCAGGCACGCGAGCCGGGACTCACGGCCCCCACCACGGACTCGAACTCTTCGTCCGAAGCGCAGCCCGTGACCTCCTTCCTGAGCTTGTCCCAGGTGTCCAGGCCACAGCTGCCCGGGGAGAATGAGGAAGAGGAGGAAGGCGACGGCGAGGAAGGGGCGCAGGGCGAGGAGGCTGCGTTGGACGACAGTGAAGAGAAGGCCGGCCTGGTGCGCGGCCGCTGGCGCGAGGACGCTATCAACTGGCAGCGCACGTTCAGCGTGGGCAACGTGGACTTCGAGATGCTGCGCTCGGACTGGAACGACCTGCGCTGCAATGTGTCGGGGAATCTGCAGCTGCCGGAGGCCGAGGCCGTGGACGTGGTGGCTCAGTACATGGAGCGGCTCAACGCGCGCCATGGAGGGTACGAGGGAGGGGCGCGCATGGAAAGGGACGGCCTTGGCCTCCATGGGACGCTCAGGCTTCCCCAGGGTTTAACGGGGCACTGCTCTGGGAATGGTACACGCCCCCCCGCCCCCCCAGAAGTGTCCTCTCACCCTTCTGGGGCCCATTACTGCTCAGGGTCCCTGTCCTGTGCTAGGAGCCTTTCCCCCAACACCCAGGGCTGGCTCCCCTGTCCTGCACCTCCAAACCCCACACCTATCACCTTGGATCCGGACCTGAGGATGGATCTGAGCCACCCAGGTCTCTCTTCCAGATAGAGACACACACGAAGGTCAAGCTAAGAACCCCTGGATCCCTCTCCCCACTGGCACCTCGCTGGCTGGGGTCTTGGTCCTCAGGGGAGGGCTCAGGGTTCCTGCCCCACTGGCCCTTCTGGTCTCCCCCAGGCCCCAGGAATCCAGTCTTGTCTCCACCCCAAGCAGGTATGGGGGTTGGAGAGTGGGGGACCCAATTTGACCTGAGGGGAGGCCCTGAGGGGTTCTCAGAGCTGTGCTGAGCCCTTAAGTAGGGGCAGGACCTGCAGAGACGGGCAAAGGCTGGCCAGGAGGCTGGTGGGCAGAGGACAGGCCTCATGGGCCTTGAAGGCCAGGTGCAGGAGTCATTCTTCTTGCCTCTGAAACACAGTCTAGAGCAGGACACAGGTTTGGCCCATCTGGATCATAGACAAGCATGTGGCTGTGTTGGAGAGGAGGGGGTGGAAGGGGGAGCTCATGACTGACAGGCTTGGTCCAGGGCAGCGATGGGATGGCCTGGACCCTTGGCAGGTGCTGGGGTAGATTGATTCTAGGTGGCTGAGAAGGCAAGCCTGCACTTGGCTCTGAGCTTCCTGAGAGCAGCTCATCGTCCCATGGGCATGAGGGGGTCTGTCCAGCAGAAAGGTCACGGCTGCAGCCCCACCTTCCCTGAGCCGTGCAAGGGTGTGGGTGGCCCCCAGGAGCGAGAGCACAGACCCAGAGCGTTTGGGGCAGAAAGTCCCTGATACTTGAGGAGAGCATGGTGGGGATGGGCAGGGGGTGAAGGGAGGAATCTAGACCCCTGGGAGGTCACACCGGTAGGCTCCGAGGGTGAGGGATACTGGCTGCAAAGGTGGGGGCGGGGACATATGGCAGAAGGGAGAGTGACCTAGTCAGGGGCGGGGCCCTATCTTCCCAGACCACGGCTGGGGAAGAGCCGGCGGCGAGGCCCGGAGACTTCCTCCCCAGAGATCAGGGCAGCCCCTGCGCTGGTGCTGGGGGGACACAAAGGAGGCTTCTCAGAGGAGGCACCCAGGACCTTGCAGAGGAGGGTGGGGAGCCTGGGGCGAGCATCCAGGCAGGGGACACCCCCACGGGAAGAGGAAGCTTGCTTATCTAACCTGAGGGGGTATCGAGGCCACAAGGTAGACACCGTTTACCGGCTTAGAATTCAGACGTCTGAACCTCGGCCTGTGGGCAGTGGGCGCCCCTAAAGGTTTCTGAGCGTGCAGCTGTGGACAGGAGTGGTGGCACCGAGGAGAGGACTGGTCTGGGCTTGGGGACGCCTCCCTTGTGGGCTGCCCCACGGAGAGGGAGCCCCGGCATGTGGGCCTGCCTTGTGAGAAGGGAGCTCCCCAACAGGCCTTGAGGTGTGGTGGGGGACGGGGGACGTGCGGCACCCCACCCCAAGGCACCTGAGTGGCCACCTCGTTTCTGCGGCTGGAGGCGGCTTGTGGGAAGAATGGGGCTGGAGTCGTGGGCGCAGCTTCGGAGCCCGAGGGGCCTGACAGGGTCCCGCCCCGCAGGCGGTACGCTCTCCTGCGCATTGTGAACGTGGAGAAGCGCCGGGACTCCGCGCGGGGAAGCCGTTTCCTCCTGGAGCTGGAGCTCCAGGAGCGCGGCGGGCGCCGGCTGCGCCTGTCTGAGTACGTCTTCCTGCGTTTGCCCCGGGCACGTGCTGGCGACACAGATGGAGACGGGGAGAGTCCCGAGCCCGCTCTAGCCGCCTCCCCAGCCGCCTCCATGCACCCGGATGGCCGCCCAGAGCTGTGCCGGCCACTGCGCCTGGCCTGGCGCCAGGATGTGATGGTGCACTTCATTGTGCCAGGTGCGTGGGAGTGGGGCTGGCCTGCCAGCCACCTGGGATTGCTGCGGGGGG